AAAAAAGCTTCAATTTAATTCCTAAATGTCATCTAATATTGTTATAGGTACAATATAATTTATATGCTTTTTTTCTTATCCTTCGAATGCACTAAATATCTGTTGAGTATTTTAACCTACAAACAGTTTGATTGTGTTGAGATAAAACCTCCAACATGCAGTAGGTCCACCAGACCCCCACCACTGTCTGAATAACACGAGTTTAAAAACAGATAAATCTGACTCCTTTTGTATCAACTACAACCTGAATTTAGATTTTATTTTCACACAAAAGCAAACATTTTTAAGTAAAATACAGTTTTGAGTCATCTTTAAAATTATAACCTCACTGAGACACAAAAAGCACAACTTGATTTAGTTGCATCAACTCCACAAAAGTGTAGCAGCTCACATTACCCTCGTGTCCAGAAAACCTGAAGCAGTTTATCAATTAAATGAGGAAATCCTGTATATACAGTATATATTACAATATATATTTATTCATAAAGTGGTTTGGGTTCAAAGCCTTATTTCTTGAGGAATCACTCAGTAAACTGTGTCAGGAGTTGCATAAAAGCACTAATTGCAGGTGTTTCTTCAATGTTAATCCCTTCGTTTACAATTAATACAAACCTTTTAGACTTTCTCTTTATTATAGGGATCTGAAATGGTAATTTTGTGGCACAGTTTCTCAGTGATGGCAGGATGCTGAGAACGTAACCGTCTGTCTCAGTGTTTGATTGCTGATATCTCCAGGGTCAGACAGGCAGCTGACTGTTTCCCACTCAAAGTTAACATGTTCGTCATCAGTTTGTGTCGATGCCTGAGTGTGTCATTTGAGTTTACCGAAGCGTACCAACAAAAATCCTGGACAGAGTTGTTGCACAAATAAAGTTCTGACACCGTTGGGACGTTTGCAAGTGTCATAAAGGTCATTTAGAATAAAGCTTGGTATGTCAAATGTTTAAACTAAGAAAATGTGCAACTTTAAGCCTTCCTAGAAAAATATCTAAAATAGAGAATGTGTTGTTTTAAAGCCTGCATGTGATTTTCTGTATTGATGGTGTCTTTCCCTATGTGTTAGCTGCCTATTACAGAGATATTAAAGTCAGATTTATTTATAGAGCACATTTAAAACAGAAACTGTTACCAAAGTGCTTAACAAAAATATCACAACATCAAATAAAAAGTAACAAGATATTAATGTACCCCATACCATCAGAGAGGCAGGCTTTTGAACCATTTGCTGAAAACAGGCTGGGTGGTCCCTCTCCTCTTTAGTGCAGGGAACATTTACCAAAAATAGCTGTTTGATTCCATTGAGGAACTTTATTCGGAAATTGTTTCACTCTATTTAGACACAGGTTATTACAGACTGGTGAACCTCTGCCCATCTTTACTTCTGAGAGCTTGAACGTCTTAAAAATGTTCTTTTTATACCCAGTCCTCTTACTGACCTGTGTCCAGTTGACCAAAATGCTCCTCCTTTTGTTCCCCCGTCATCTATTTTGAGATGTGCTGCTGCCATCAAACTCCAAACTGCCCCGCTTCTTTTCAAAATATGGTTCACTTTTTCATTTTAAACATTTTGCATTTTTACCATGTTCCATTGAGAATAAATGATGGGTTTATGAGATGTCCAACTCATCTCTTTTATTAACTTTACACACATCATCCC